TTTACACTGAGCCTCAATAGGCCTTCAAACAACTAGGCCAATTGTTAAAAGCTTATTTTTACAGTCGGTCGTGAAATACAGAGTTGTACATGCTAAGATATACAACTTACGAATCGCAGAGTTTTCGAACTCGTCCCTTTATTCCTAGTAGGTTTTTTACAGGGCTAAGCCGTTAACATGTGAATACAGTAAAAACCCGCGACTAAGAACCTGTATTTTCCCTAGTTAGACTTAAAACAGGTTCTTACGTGAATGGTAATGAGCGCAAATTTAGGCTATTTAGGTTGTTAAATAGGTTCTTGTTTTCAGAACAAAAAACACATTGTAGCCAAGAGCAATTAGTCGTATTCGGCTTATTCCTTTTAAAAAATCTGCATACTGTTATATTGTTTTTGGACTGTGATAGGCACCTTTGTCTCCAAAACGGATCATGAATGTTGACTCATTTTTTAAAATGTACAGGATTTTATAAAGATTCTATAAAATAAGAACCTGTTTCAGATTTTAGGCTAAACAGGTTGTTTTTCAGATCGAGCCTATAACTGGCAAAGTTTAGCCTAACAGATTCAAGCCAGGTTCTTACTGTATCAGGGGCACCCAACGAGAATATAGTTGAAAACCACTTAAACATAGCATTGTTAAACGTATTTTAGTATTTAAACGGTAGATATAGGCATATTTTTATCCCCTAGAAATTTTCCATCTGTTCTTACCTTTGCGAAAATTTCAGCCAGAAAAAAGGCTCCCGAAAATTCTAGGTGACCTTTTAAGGGTTGAAATCCGTTAAAAATGGGCAATTATACCATTTTTTAGATGTTCGAAAATCCTAGAAGAGGCAGGTAAGCAAGAAATTTTACAACAAATGTTCCGAAAATTGTAGATCGACAATCGTTTTCCGAACAGATATTTTCCAAAAATTGTCGTTGGGTGCCCCTGCTGTATGTCATTGATATGTCAGTCCCCGTTAGCACGGAATCATTTTATCTATTTTTTGACTTTACTTACGATCACATAACTACACAAATACCCGACAGGGTAATGAACAACAAAGTTTATCAAAACAAACATATACTTTTTTTTTTCCATTCGCCTGGAAACTTTTTTTTGAAAAACAATTTTTACTTTTTGTCCCCCCCCTCTTCCCCCCCCCCCCCCCCCCCCCTTCCTATCTAAATTTTCGTTACGCCCCGTGGGGGAGTTGTGAGCTACACTCGCATGAAATGGTACAGTGTACATAGCTGCCGCTTCTAGCTTGCTAGCATCGGCGAAGCCGTGAAAGACAATTATTGTCATTTACACCTCTGTTTACAATACTGCAGGAACTGATATACATGAAAGATTCTTAAATCCCTCTAGCCACTTGTCCCAGGATCTGCAAATTTCATCAGATACTCTTACATCCAACTTGAGTTTGCGTAAGCAAGTTTCGCTGTATACGATCTTTTCCGTGATCAGTACTGGAGAATCAAGACCCAGCGGGTCATTATATACCATTGACAGCCGATAGTATTTTCCTCTTTCTTAAAGGACCCTCGCTAGCCGATTCTAACGGCTTCATGAAGCCAATAGAAAGTTCATATTCTGTCTTGTTCCAAGGAACTTCCATTACTTTTGTTTCTTTAGGACTAGTTCCCACCTCAGCCTCTGACGATCTCCTATCTCTAGTATGTTAGTTATTATTCGATTACTGTGCCGTTTGTGAAGGTGAAAGCCACCTTCTCCCATATTCCTTGTGGCCTCCTCTTTGAACTTAACCAGCTCATCTCTGTGATCTCCACTTGACTGGACATAATCCACATAAGTATTGTTCCGCAACTCATAGGTGGTAGAGGGAAACTTTTCAGTATACTGACTCACGTATCTCTTACTTGTCGCCCCCAGAATGTAAGGACTAGGTCCTGACCCAAAAATCACTCTTGTGAATCGATACTCTGTAATTGTCCTTGAATCAAGGTTTTCATTGGTACCATAAGAGGCGAAGAACATCCCTGTCCTTTGGATGGACCTTAATCTGGAGGAAGGGCTTTGGAATGGCTCTGGTGATACATAGCAACTTCACTCGAAAGACGATTTCGGAGAGGAATGTCAGAGATAGGTTGTAAAGGGGGTCTCACTTCCAGACAGTCTCTCAAAGATGGTGCTTGGAAATTGGCCTTAACTGAGCATCCATACACTATTCTCATCTTTGTAGACCCCGCCTGGTCTCTGATTGCTGGTTGACGGGAATGTAATGTTCCTTGCGGAGGTTTTCTACCAGCTCCTCAAATCCCCACTCTTCCCAGTCATCATCTTTTTGTGCTCAGGCTTCTCTCACTGGACCGAGCTTGTCCATAATGCTGTAAACATAACTTTGTGCACTTTGCAATTTCTTCATTGTGCTTAAGGTTCTCACAGTTCTAGACAGCTGGTTATGAACTCATGAATCTGTTTTGTTTTTGTGATGCTTGATATGTTTGCTGGCAGTGTTTCCAAATCCTTGATCAATGCCTGGAGAACATTAATATCCTTTCCCTAAGTAAGTTCTAAGATCGTTTTTGCTTCCTCATATAGCCTTTTGCAGTGTGCGGTAAGTTACGAATATGATTGACCTTTTGGCTCCCCTTCCACCGGTTCAAGCAAGTAATTGAATTTTCTTATCTCAGAAAGTTTCCACAACAAACTGATTCCAGTATCTGAGCCAATCTTTGTAATCCCCTCTAAATGGTGTGATAGAATACTTCTGTAGTTTAACTGCTTGTATTTTAGTTATTTCCTTTGTGGCTATTTTTTGCTTCTAAAGCAAGTTCACACTTCCTTATGAAACAAATCTTCCTCTCTCTTGTGTATTTCTTGTTTTTCTAATTCGCTTAACGCTTCCTTCAGCTTTTCTCTTAGGTTTCGCACAGTAAGAACTCGTTTACGAGTGTCTGACCACTGTCTTACCTCGTCAAATCTCTTCTCCGCATCCAAAATGTCATCTTTCACTCGTTTCGCTAAATCTTAGAGTGCCTTGTTTATGTCACATATTCTCTCGTACGCCAAACGCAAATGTTCCGTTCCTCCAGCATTTAGTTTTCACTCAATTTCTCCATCGTAGAACGTTGCCCTTTTTAATTCCTTCTTGTAATTTTGTTCAGTAAGCTGCAACATGTTTCACAGTCAGTAGTATTTTCTTGAGTCTTCACACATTCGATGTTTGTATCCACAAGGTTCGCTTTAATCACATGCAGTCCTGGCAAGGTCGCCACTTTTGGTGAGGGGAAAGAAAATAATCCAGTGGGCAAAAAATAAATCACAGAAAATCTAAACAAATTTGATTTCCACAATCCTGATCCACAAATACAAGTAAGAAGTAGTAGAAGACCAAACAGCAACAAAGGGAAAAAACCTTCCTAATCGCGAGGACTGTGAAAAATACTGAAAACGAGGCTACAACAAAACACTCTATATAGCACTCATGAATGTTCTCAACGTTCTAAACATTTGCCTCAAACTTGTTTGCAAACAAATTTAGGAAAACCTTTGAAGCGTTGCATCCACCGGCCAGATATTTTAAAAGCTTTAGCCCAGGCTTAATTACGCCAAAATGTTAAACAAAAGTTTCTCATCTAGAGTTATTTTTATGCTGAATTCAGAAAAATAAATTTCATCATCAAGCCTCATTTTAAAATTGTAAATATGATAAGTTTTCCTAGATGAATTCGAAACGCAGTAGAGAAGGAAAAATACACTGGCGCAAACAGTGCAAATGCGAAAAAAAAAGTTCATAATGGAGACTGGGTGGTGAAATTTGCTCGTTTGTCGTTAACATAATTATTTATTTAATATTTATATTATAGTTATACGTCTAGATTTGTTGCCAAATATTGCATGTAAGTTTACAATATTTTGACAGTACTTAAAAGGAATAATCACAATATCGAACACGAAGTCTCAGAAGCCTTTCTGAGCTTATCTAGGACACTACCAAGAGACCCCATCATGACTGGCAATTGCTAGTCCATCAGGAGAAAACTCAATACTTGTGCTTCAACATTTTTACACTGAGCCTCAATAGGCCTTCAAACAACTAGGCCAATTGTTAAAAGCTTATTTTTACAGTCGGTCGTGAAATACAGAGTTGTACATGCTAAGATATACAACTTACGAATCGCAGAGTTTTCGAACTCGTCCCTTTATTCCTAGTAGGTTTTTTACAGGGCTAAGCCGTTAACATGTGAATACAGTAAAAACCCGCGACTAAGAACCTGTATTTTCCCTAGTTAGACTTAAAACAGGTTCTTACGTGAATGGTAATGAGCGCAAATTTAGGCTATTTAGGTTGTTAAATAGGTTCTTGTTTTCAGAACAAAAAACACATTGTAGCCAAGAGCAATTAGTCGTATTCGGCTTATTCCTTTTAAAAAATCTGCATACTGTTATATTGTTTTTGGACTGTGATAGGCACCTTTGTCTCCAAAACGGATCATGAATGTTGACTCATTTTTTAAAATGTACAGGATTTTATAAAGATTCTATAAAATAAGAACCTGTTTCAGATTTTAGGCTAAACAGGTTGTTTTTCAGATCGAGCCTATAACTGGCAAAGTTTAGCCTAACAGATTCAAGCCAGGTTCTTACTGTATCAGGGGCACCCAACGAGAATATAGTTGAAAACCACTTAAACATAGCATTGTTAAACGTATTTTAGTATTTAAACGGTAGATATAGGCATATTTTTATCCCCTAGAAATTTTCCATCTGTTCTTACCTTTGCGAAAATTTCAGCCAGAAAAAAGGCTCCCGAAAATTCTAGGTGACCTTTTAAGGGTTGAAATCCGTTAAAAATGGGCAATTATACCATTTTTTAGATGTTCGAAAATCCTAGAAGAGGCAGGTAAGCAAGAAATTTTACAACAAATGTTCCGAAAATTGTAGATCGACAATCGTTTTCCGAACAGATATTTTCCAAAAATTGTCGTTGGGTGCCCCTGCTGTATGTCATTGATATGTCAGTCCCCGTTAGCACGGAATCATTTTATCTATTTTTTGACTTTACTTACGATCACATAGGGAGAATTCTGTTTGGCTACGGAAGTAGCAACGCTGAGAGTCCCGAACAGTTGAGTCACATCAGCTAAGTTCATATCCTTTTTGACAACAGTATTGTCAAGTGCAATAGAAACAAGCTTGTCAACAAACTGAAAAAGGCAAAAATAAAATAATTACTTCATCTCCAAATCTCCAAAAGACACTTAAGACCTACAGTAAACACCCGCAGTAGTTTTGCAAAGCTTACTTGTGTACTTATTTATCAATAAAGAATTAAAGAATAAAGAAGAATTATTATACCAACCAATGTCCATGAAATCAAAAATTGGCTAGTTGGATATATCCGACTGGAAACGAAGGGTTTACCTTAAAGTGCAAAAATGTAAACTAACCCGTGGGAAACTAGTACGCTATGAAAAACCAAACATACTTTATATAGTAAAACCAGGGGAGGGGAGGGGGGGAGGCAACTCTATTGTTTTCCACCTAAGTTTCTTGACCCACTCCGCCTGCCAGTATGACGTCACATAGTAACGGGCAAGAGCCTCCGGTCGCTTGTGCAAATTAGCAAGGAATACGACATTTATTTGGACGAGCGAGGTCAAGGAAAAGCTAAGAAGCTAGCAAATATCGCTATATATCACTTATTTGATCGAATGTGTGTGAGCTTTGGTGTTGCTATAATCTGCTTGTTTAAACCCGTTTTGATATTTTGTGTCCATGACTGTATAATTTTGTTAATTTGTTTTGCGTGGAGTGTTGCGGGACACCATCTATTTCACCGGACCGGCAAGGTCACCAAAACTTAAATCTTTTTTTTCTCTAAAATAGGCAAGGTCTAGTCTCCAGAATCGCAGGTTCCATTCTCAGATCACGCATGTTTATATTTCATCTATTCTTTTGCTAATTAAATGGGCCTAACTTCATATCATTCCTTAAGAGTGTGGGCCTCTGTTGATCTCCTAATCCTCTACCAAATTCAGTAAAACTTGTTCGATCGATTATCTACATCGAGTCGGCCTGTTGAACCCGAAATAATGCGAAATAGCTTTGAAAGACGCGTTTAAGAAAATTTTCCTCAAATGTATATTTGAATTCATGATAAATACCGCTCCACCAGCTTCAAACAGCGTCTATGGCAGAGAAAAATTGTTTTGATATGACAAAATTAATTTTTTAATTATTAGCCTAAAATCTCCACTGAGTTTGCCCCCCAAAAATAATTAAACCCAACCTTTTATTGGTTTTCGGGATTTAATTACAGAATTACAGGTGTATGCCCAATACAGTATTAAAATGCGATAAAGCAATAAGATTCACTCACAAATACCTGTCATTTAGCTTCCTCTTTCAACGCTACAACTAAGCGAACTTTGAGAGGAATGATATGGCGTTCCACTAGCTCTGAAGAGCTGAAAATACGCACAATGTAAACTATAATATATACATCCTTTGATGAACCTTCTACTCCTTAATCTTGCTGTGCACTGGCCCACAAAAGTGTGCCCGTCTGTATGATTGCCCGTAAAATTTGCTCGACGATAGAACTGGGAATCTTTAAAATTCATTACGCCACTGGACATTTCATTCCAAAAAAGCACTTAAGTCTAGTCTTCTATGACAATAGAAACCTTAAAATCTCCAAATCCAAGAAATCGGAACAGTATTTCCGTGATAACATCGAAATTTTTATCTGTCCCTTCCATAAACACTTTGCGCGCCATTTTGAAAGTCACTGACGCGAGACGTGACGTCAAGCTGGCAGGCGGACTGTACCCCCGGGGGGGGGGGGGGGTACCCCCCATCATTCCCTTTACGGGTTTGTGCCCCCCCAGGGGGGCCGTTTTTTGAAGCTTCCGTTTTTAAAGGGGGCACCCATTTCAGAGGCGTTTTTTCGAAGGGGGGTAAATATTTAGAAATCACACAAGCTCCCCCCTTTCCCCCCACCCCACCCTTCCCACCTCCAGTTTTTCCCGATAAAGATGATAATTTTTTTTCGTCCCTCCCATAACCCTTTTGGCCGCCATTTTGAAGGGTCCTGGGGCGGGGCGGGGCGTGAAGGGGGCGGGGGGACTGGTCCCCCCGGGGGGGGGGGGGGTACTCCCATACATTACCTATACGGGTATGTGCCACCCAAAGGGGTCGTGATTTTGAAGCTCCTGGTTTAGAACGGGGTATCCATTTCAGACGCGGTTTCTAGAACGGGGTATAATATTTCGAACGCACGAAAGCTCTCCACTTTTGTAAGCAGTCATTTGAAAGCATTCAAGGACAGATTGCTTTTAAAAATACGGCTCAGTGCGTTAACAAGCAATCCGTTGTACTTTTGTTGCACCCTAGAACGGAGTATAAAAAATTGGCCCATTTCTAGAACGGGGTGTTAGTTTTAGGGCGAATTCTAGAACGGGGTATAAAAAATTGGCCTATTTCTAGAACGGGGTATCAATTTTAGGGGAAATTTTTTCTAGAACGGGGTGCCAATTTGGAGTCCCGGGCGGCACATACCCACCCAAAAAATACCCAAGTGCCCCTCCCCCGGTACTGTACCACAGATAACAGAACATCAAAAAGAACGTTATTACCTCTTTGTTTGCCTCGATATCTTCATCACTTTCCTCTTCAGTATCTTTTTCGTTTAATGCTTGGGCAAAACTTGATACAAAAGACAGTCTCAGGTTTAGGTTGCCACCCGCAGTTATTTCGCCCAGGTTTTCGTCTAATAGTTTTGTAAGATCCTTAGCAGTCGGTTTCTCTTCATTCGGCCTAACCTGTTAAAGAAAGATCAAAGCTCTTTCTCGGGAAACGTCTTGGGTAATAGGCCACGCTTGACATATTAAAATTCTAACATGACACCGGGACTTTCTGGTCATATTTCTATATTTGATTTGGTTTTCTTTCCGCTCAAGTCTTTTCGAGGAATTGCGAGACAATGGAGTCGTNAGAACGGGGTGTTAGTTTTAGGGCGAATTCTAGAACGGGGTATAAAAAATTGGCCTATTTCTAGAACGGGGTATCAATTTTAGGGGAAATTTTTTCTAGAACGGGGTGCCAATTTGGAGTCCCGGGCGGCACATACCCACCCAAAAAATACCCAAGTGCCCCTCCCCCGGTACTGTACCACAGATAACAGAACATCAAAAAGAACGTTATTACCTCTTTGTTTGCCTCGATATCTTCATCACTTTCCTCTTCAGTATCTTTTTCGTTTAATGCTTGGGCAAAACTTGATACAAAAGACAGTCTCAGGTTTAGGTTGCCACCCGCAGTTATTTCGCCCAGGTTTTCGTCTAATAGTTTTGTAAGATCCTTAGCAGTCGGTTTCTCTTCATTCGGCCTAACCTGTTAAAGAAAGATCAAAGCTCTTTCTCGGGAAACGTCTTGGGTAATAGGCCACGCTTGACATATTAAAATTCTAACATGACACCGGGACTTTCTGGTCATATTTCTATATTTGATTTGGTTTTCTTTCCGCTCAAGTCTTTTCGAGGAATTGCGAGACAATGGAGTCGTGGAAAGTTTGAAAACCTTATCTTACCTCGGAGTTACGTTAGAATTTTGATATATCGAACGTGGGCTATTTGAAGTATCGACGGAATTTTCCCCAAAGTTAATTAACCTAGGGAAAATACGTCACACTCAAAAAGGTGCTTTCCCGTTGGCAACAGCCCGATTTTCCATGAGTAAAATGTATAGTATACCCCGGCGCACCTAATGTAGGGTATGTGGTACGAAAAGCACAGCCATTTACGTGATATTTAGCCTCACTGCTCACTCACTTGATAAAATTCAGCAAATTTTAACCTGCAGAAGATAACCTTTGCTGGAAATGCCTGGTTGTAGACTAACTGGGGAAATGTAACCGTGATAGTTATGATAAGATTAGACCACTTAAGGCTAGATTAGAACAAGGACAAAAAGTTTCGCATATTTCTCTTTCTTTCTACCTCATGATGAATCAGAAACGATGAATACGTTCATACATTCCTTCGAGTTCCCTCGAGAACCATACCCGATTCCAGATCCTAATGGGCAAAGTCTATACCCGTTCATACCAAAACGGCGCAAGAACCCTACCCTTTGAGGAGGCACTTACCTATGGTTTGTACATATGAGTACCCCCGGGCCACGCGTACTGTGTCCGGTTTTGCTTGAAAAGAGAGATCTTTCTTCCGGTTTAGCATACCTTCCACAGGTGCCCGATAAGATTAAAACTACTATTTACAGAAAACCGACACATACCGACCGATTACTAGACCAGTCTTCGTACAACCCGACCTCTCACAAGGAGACTACTATCCGGACTCTGACGAGACGAGCGCAACTAGTTTGCGACTCACCTGACAGCCTACAAGACGAGACTGATTATCTTAACAACGTTTTAGTAAGAACAATTACAACACGGACTTTGTTAGACGGAACACTCACAGTAACACTGATTCCAACTCTCAGACCAACTCTGGCCCTGTTACGACAGCGACTATACCGTACATCAGAGGCACCTCTGAAACTATTGCACGTATATTACAACCTTACAATATACGTGTTGCGCACAAACCGATAACCACTTTACGGCGACTGCTTACTAATGTCAAGGAAAAAGACAA